TGGTGATGTGGTCCCTGTCCCTTTGGAAATTTCTGCCCAAAACTTGGTTCTAGCGATTTGTGCTGTAGCTCTGAGGTTACTCCAAGCTCTGCCTCAGCTTCTCAGCTCATTGTACCTTGTTTCTTCCCATCTTCTTGGGTCTTATATTTCTCCTGGACTAACCAGGCAGAATTTGTAGATCTAACTTGACTCTTTTTATGGCCCTTAATCTGACATTCCTTTAGTATGCTACTTCTGATAACTTTAGCTTCAAGCACAGGACAGGCAAGATGCTGCCTAGGTCCTCAGGACACTTCCTGGCATGGCCCTCAGAACCCCTCCTTCAGTCCACAGCTTGCAGTGGGAGGGTATCTGGTGGGAGTGGCATTTCTGTGATCTCTCCTCTTATGTCCCCTCTCCCCAAAGGGACTACTACAATCAGCCTTGCATCTATGTTTTAGTCTCCAGGGTTCTGGTGTGTAGACAGGCTGAGGACCACTCGGAAGAGCCACTGTCCCTCCTCATCCCTTATTGGAGCTGAATCAAAGCGCTACCTTATTGTTAATTCCAGAAGCGACAAAGAAAGCTAGTTAAGAAAATGCAGTCAAACAGGTTTAAATGTCTAGAAAGTCTCTCTGAAATGAAAGGAAAATCCACCAATGATATATCCAGTCAAGCTTGAAACCAAATGCTGTGTTTTTTGATCCTCTAAAGAAAATCCTTTCATCCCTTCACCTTTCATAGTTGGTTTTTGGGTTACACTGTAGGTGGACTAAATTTCTGGTGATTTGTGAGTTGGCTCCTGTTCCCTCTTTGGTCTGGGGTAAACTCTTGTTTCTTTCTTTTTTTCTTAAAAGTAAAGGATCTGCTTCAGTTAACCTTGGGAGGGGTGGTTGAGACTAGGTGGCATGAGAAAGTCTGCTCAGGTGCTGGTCATGTTTTGTTTCTTGGTCTGAAGGTTGGTTACAAGGATGTGTTCAGTTTGTGAAAATTCCCAAACCCTATTCTGATAATCTGTGTGCTTTTCTCTGCATATGTTATAATCCAATAAAAAGTTGATAAAAAGCTGATCTGTGTTAGAAATAAAACAACAACAACAAGAAAAATTATAAAATATAACGTAAGCATCATCCATAAGGACAAATGCTTAAAATGATTTTTGTTTCTCATATCCGAGCCAGTTTCAGTTACTGGCTCTGAGAGAAAATAAGAGTGGCAGTGTTGTAGGCGAACAAATAATGATTGTTGCCTTTGTTAGTCCTGTAAAATAGCCCAACACATACAGGCACACTGCCCAAGCCTGGCTCACAGATCCGCCTTGTTCCCCAGCTGCTTTTGCCTCACAATCACATTTTCATCCTGCTCTGACTTAGCGCTGCTGACCACTGCCCCACTGGGGGCCCTCTGGGCTCCTGTGTTTATCTGTGGTCCATGGGCCTTGGCTGCTAGGATTCTTTGCTGCTGCCTCCAAGAGTAGGACATTCCTTGTTGAATATCTTGCTCCACAGGGAGCGACCCCTGCCCTGGGCACCTTACTACTTACAAGTGTCCCCTGCGAGACAGTGTTTTCCAAAAGTTCTGCACATTCTCCCCTTCTTTCACTTTTGTTTTGTAAATTGAATTATTTGGGGCTGTAGTAAATACATTGTTATTTCAGGAACTTTTTGTGATGAATATTTAAAAAGTGCAGATAATTTTATCTTATTCTTTACATTTTTCTTAAAATTCAGCTTAGGTGCTATAGGCCAGACAACTGATCTACTCACCCTGAAGTTTATAGTTTGACTATTCATCAGCTATCTGAAAGTTCAGTAACATGTGCTGATTTGTAATCTGGAAACCTGTGCCTTTGGCAGTAAAACAGAAGAGAAGGTCTTTGACCGATGGCTGGAGTTGAAACCTCTAGGAAGGGAATCAAGAGTGGGACAAATTGCTAAACCAGAGGTCCCTGGCCTAGGGCAGGCTGAGGAATGCAGCAGGCGAATTGCCAGGCGTGGGCAGAGAAGCTTTGGCTCAGCTGTGAAGCGGAGAGCAAGTCCTCTGTTCTCTCTATGTATTCTTCCTTCCTTAAACTCCTCATTTACCTGCAGGGGTCAACTTCCAAAGCTCTACCCTGTCCTCCTGATCTAAAATCTTCAACCACGGTCATCTCTATTTAGATGTTTCACTGCTAATCAAATGCTGCATGTCCAAATCTGAACTTGCTTTGGCCTTTGGCATTTATGAGGAACAGGGCTAATGACTTGGGTGAATTCTCAAATGCTAGTATGATATATTTCCCCCTAACATGCACAGGCAAGAAGAGGAGTTAATATCAAAGTCATATGGAGCAAGGGATCCTAAGGGGACGGCTAGACTCACTTTCAAGCTGATGACATTCTCTTGCATACCAACCTCCAAGCTGGGAGTTTCAAGGTTTCACCTCAAGAAATTTAGAAAGCTGTATGTATATTTGCAGTTCCTGGATATTTGCAGTTCCTGGTAAAGCGTCAAACTATAAGTCACATATGATATCTAAGTATCTCTAAGTACCTCTGTTGGTTGAATACATAAATTGAATTTTATGAATGTCAAGTCCCTTCTCTCAGCTCCTTCTTGTTTATCCAGACAAGTTCGATTTCATTGTGGTGCAATCTTTCTGCCAGTCTCCCAGACGATATTTAGGGCCATTCATGGCTTTTCCTTCCTCATTTCTTTTTAAAATTTATCTTTATTGTTGAAAGTAATACAGGCGAATCCCCCTCCCCCCATTGAGTCCTTCCAGCCCAGCCCCCTCACCAAGCCTTCACCATACTGTTGTCTATGTCCATGTGCTATGCATATATGCATATACGTTCTTTGGTTAGGCAATATTCACTAAATATTGACATTTCTTCTATCTCTTCTATAGCCACATAGGAGCTAGACCAAACATTTATCGAGAGTTTGTTTATACAAGTTTTATCAGTTTTCTTTTGTTACATAAGAAATTACTATAAATTTAGTGATTAAGAACAATTTACTTGTTCATGCTTTACTTGGGTCAGAAGTATGGCATGGTGTGACGTGGTCACTGCTCTGAATGTCAGGTATCAGAAGGCTGAAATCGAGACAACAACCAAACTGAGTTCCCCTCTGGAAGTCCTGGGGGACAGTCTGCTTCCACGCTCATTCAGGGTGGCAGAACTCAGTTCCCCTCAAATCTCTGACTTCTGCAATCAGCCAGAGAAAACTCGTTCCTCCTTAAGGGCTCATGTGATTAAGTCAGGCTCCCTTACCAGTAGATAATCTCCTGATTGTAAGGTCAACTGAGTTGGGACGTTAATTTCCCGTGCAAAAGCCATTTCCAGCAGTAGCTGGATTAACGTTTGATTGAATATGTGGGAGAGTGTGTGTACATCGGGAATCTCGGAGACCATCTTAGAATTCTGCCTACCATACAAGGGAAGCAGAATGCTAAGAAATTGGAATATATATTCTCACTCAAGTATTTCAATGACCCTATGAAGCAGATACCACTATTATTTCCATTTTATTGGTTAGAAAACTGAGACACAAAAGATGAGTTTAAGCTATTTTAACAATGCTCCCTGTCTGTATTCATTTAACTACACTCAGAATGGCTTTCCTACCTCCAAGACCTTCCTCCTCTAATTTATCTTATGTCCCTTTGGCCAGAACAATGTTAGTTAAAAAACACTTCCCCCCACCAGGTCACTTTCCTAGATTTGGAGGGTTATACATTGCTATAGCAGCAAGAGGCATGAGTATTAGTATAGTATACTAGAAAATTCACTTATGCCCAAAGATGAGAATCTATTCAGCTGTATCCTTGGTGAAGATTTTGATACTAACATAGACTTGTAAGGTGTGAGTGTTAAGGTGGCAGGAAGGAGGTGTGTTTGCAAGTAATTATAACACTAGATATAGAGTGTGGACTGTATCTTTCCAGATCAGAAAGGAGAAGCAAGTATGAATAATACTGAACAATAAGACATAACAAAGCATTTGGTTTAGAAGCAAATTTTATAGGTTAAATTGAAAGCCTAAGAACTTTATTATATTGTAGAGTACATATATATAGGAAACATACTTGAGCACAGAATAAATCTCATTTATTTTTAAGAGATGAATAACTTTAGAAGCGTGGTTTCACTTGATTATTCATTAATTTGTTCAGAAGATATTTGTTGATTGCCACTTTGTATCAAGCACTGTAGCTCCAAATTAACTTTTCTCCCCCTACTGGAGTATTGCAACAGCTTCCTGACTGGTTGCTTTCACTCTCACCTTGCACTCCTCTGCCCATTCCAGTCTATTAGCCACAAAGCAGCCATAGGGATGCTTTAAAAATCTTAGGTAAGGCCTGGACATTCTGTTGCTTAAAACTTTCTAATACATTTTTTTAAAATGTTATATATATTATTGATTTTTTACAGAGAGGAAGAGAGAGGGATAGAGAGTTAGAAACATCAATGAGAGAGAATCATCCATCAGCTGCCTCTTGCACACCCCCTACAGGGGATGTGCCCACAACCAAGGTACATGCCCTTGACCAGAATCAAACCCGGGACCTTTCAGTCCATAGGCCAACGCTCTATCCACTGAGCCAAACCGGTTTTGGCTAATACATTTTTCACTAATTCAGAGTAAAATGCAAATTCCAGGAGCCCACTATGTAGCCTAATAAGCCCTTCCCTCCCTGTATCCAGCCCACTTCCTCCACTCTCCTTTTCACTCACTTCTCTTCAACAAACTCTGGCCTCTTTCCCATGATCCCTGGACATGGCAGGCTTGTGTCCACCTCAGGCATTCACATGGGCTGGTATTCACATGTCCACTTAGAATGTTTCCCCCCAGGCAGCTACTCCTTTATTTCATGCAGATTGTTTACTCAAGTGTTATCAAAGGGATCCTCCTTTGCCACCTGGGACAAATTATCATGCCTCTCCTCTCTACTTTTTTTTTTTTTTTTTTCTATTTTTCTTTCCAGCACTCAATTACCATCTGGTATATATGTTTTTTTTTAAAAAGGATCATAGTTGACTTGTTGTTCCCTCCTGACTGGGATGTCAGTTCCTGAAAAGAGGGGCTTTTATTTTATCTACTATATTCTAGTGACCGGAACAGTGTCTGACACACAGGAGGTACTCATACATGTTGAATAAATGAAATGGATGTAAATGCACGTATTTCTTTGTGGCATTTATTTTCTTAAATACCGAAATAAAAATATTATTAAACCATTTCAATGAAATAGTATGGTTTTATATTTTCCACATGTTTTTATGCCTTCTTCTTTACACACATCCCAAAGAACATGATCTCTATTAGTGAAGAGTATTGATACAAAAAGTTCTGGTGTGTGTGTGTGTGTGTGTGTGTGTGTGTGTGTATGTGTGTGTGTGTCTGCGGGGGTAGGGGGGAGAGGAGGGCATTTTCCAACAGAATGGTGCTGGGACAGACCAATAGCAGTGGAAATCAAGTCATGGAATTTGCAACTTTTAAGAACCTCAGCAAACAGACTGTCTCGGTGGCTTAAATGCCAACAAACACAACAGAATGTAGTTGCAGAACAATCAGGTTTCAGCAGAGGTCTTTCAAAATGACACATCCAACCGGCTGGGAGAGCTTTCAGACAGCAGAAGGACTGAGTGTGGCGGCCAGGAATCCTCCTGAGAGTGAAGGTCTGACTCCCAGCCACTCCCTACTCAGTGTGATTGAGAAATACAGCTTCCAACACCATAATGTACTTGATGTCTATGTTGTTTTTTCCTCCACAGCTTGAAATTTCCTGATGTTAGTGATAAGTTGGCTGGTGATAAGTCAGTTAGTGATAAGTCAACTGCCAGTTCTCACACTCTATAAAGATTTTTGAGGCTCACACTCTATAAAGATGTTCTGAGGCTGAATGAAGAATTTTGATGGTCTCACTCTTAATATGCCAGATAAGAATATGTACAGTAATTTATTAAAATTGCTACACTTGGAATGAGGAAATGAAGTTAATAATTGCTACATTCAGGATGTGGTAATAAATTTTAATAATTTGAAATAGAGCCGAGATTTCAATTGTCTTGGGGGTGTAGCCATCTGATTAAATTTATACTTCATATGCAGTCAATCCCAGTTAATCCCCTCTAATAAAGAGGAAATATGCTAATTGACCCTCACACCATCACAAAGATGGTGGTGCCCACAGCCAATAAGGAGGGAATATGCTAATTTGACTGTCACATCTCTCAAAGATGGCGGTACCCACAGCCAATAAGGAAGGAATATGCTAATTGACTGCCATGCCTTCAAAGATGGCAGCGCCCACAGCCACAAGGTGGTTGGTGCCCAGTCCCCTCAGCCTTGCCAGGGGGCAGGCCCAGCCACTCCGCACTCTTGCTTCTGAAGTCCCCCAGTCCCCTAAGCCCCCTCCCCCCCAGCCACCCAGGGCCAGCCCAAGGCACAGGCAAGCCTTGGATGTTGGCTGCCCAGCTGCCCAGCTGCCCAGGGCCACCTGAGACTCAGATAAACAGGGATGGCCGAGGTTTGCAGCAGCAGAGGTGTGATGGGGGCATCGCCTTCCCATGATCGTTGGTCACCTTCCACCCATGAGGGTTCCCAGACTGTGAGAGGGGGCAGGCCAGGCTGAGGTGAATTTTTAAGCGCCAGGCCTCTAGTACAAAAATAACAAGCCAAACCATAGTTGAAAAGAATTCAAATGTTTAATGTTTATGAAACTCATTCCTGGGAAGGAGCATTTGGATAAACTTACGAAAGATTTCTATCTTTTCCCCCCTTCTCCTGAAATGTGTGTTTGTATAAATATAAATGCAAAACTTTACTTTATATTTGAAAATTATGCTTTTTGCTTTCTGAAGGTATTGGTAAAAACCAATTAATCAAACAACCAAGCCAAACCAAACTCCCTAGGTTTTCACTGAAGAAGGTCTAGGTTCAAATACAAGTTTTGTTAATGGGACACTTAACTTCTCTGGGGAAGTCACTTATCCTCTCTGAAGCTTAGCTTCCTGAGTAGTAATAATAGGTTATTCATGATTTACATCTCCAAATAGTTCTGAGAATCAAATAATATAAAGTGAAAAAGCTTTAAAAGCTGCTTTACAAAAGTAAGGATTGTAATTTATTTCTTAAAAAAAAATCTTTATTGTTGGAAGTATTATATATGTCCCTTCACCCCTCTCCCCTCCCCATTGACCTCTCCCAGCCCACCTTCCCCCACCCCTGTCCCCTAGACCAGGCCATCACCCCCTTATTGCCTGTATGTGTCCATTGGTTATGCTTATACTCTTTTGTTGGTCTCTATCTTCTCTCTCCCCTCTCCTCCTGCCCACCCTCCCCTGCCTTCCCTCTGAGGTTTGATGATCTGTTCCATGCTTCTATGTCTCTGGATCGTTTTTTGTTCATCAGTTTATGTTGTCCATTATTTTCCACAAATGAGTGAGATTATGTGATATTTATCTTTGACTGTCTTATTTCTATTAGCATAATGCTCTCCAGGTCCATCTGTGCTGTTGCAAATGGTAAGTGTTCCTTCTTTTTTTTATAGCGGCATCGTATTCCATTGTGCAGATATACAACAGTTTTTTAATCTACTCATCTGCTAATCGGCACTTAGGCTGTTTCCAAAACTTAGCTATTATAAATTGCACTGCTGTGAACATAGGGGTACATATGTTCTTTTTGATTAGTGTTTCTGATTTCTTAGGATATATTTCTAGAAGTGGGATCACTGGGTCAAATAGGAGTTCCATTTTTAATTTTTTGAGGAAACTCCATACTGTTTTCCACAGAGGCTGCACCAGTCTGTATTCCCACCAGCAGTGTATGAGGATTCCCTTTTTTTCACATTCTTACCAGCACTTCTTGTTTGTTGATGTGTAATTTATTTCTTTAAAAAATAAACAAACAAACAAACAAAAAATACTAAACAGTTCCTCTTTCCCAAAAGAAGCCGAGGTGACTTATATTTATAGACTATCAGATAATAAGTAGAAAATAAAGGTAGAAATATAAAATAACTCATCATTACATTCTTTATAGTTATTAGAAATTGGTCTCAAATTTGGCTATAGATTCCTAGTAGATAAATCAGAGATAAATATTCATTTACCATAGTCATGAGTCGGTCAGACAAAAACATGAACTAGCAATTTCCGTGTTTATTAAATTGGGGTAACAATGGAGAGGGATTGTTGATTATGGTATGCTCAGGTGTGAAAACACAGGATAAACTATTTTGAATAAATTAAAACATTTTTACATTAAAATAAAGAAATGTCATTTATTTAAAACTTTTGAGTATCTATTATGTAACGGATATCGTTCTAGGAACTGGAATACAATGGAAAACAAAGGGACCTTGATCTCATGGAGTTTATATTCTAGGCCACAGCAATGGTTTGTAACTGGATCAGAATGAATATCCTTTTTACTCTGCAAAAATGAAATTCACAGATAATCAACCTACACATAATTAAGAGTTAACATAACATCCTTTTATTTAAAGGTCAAATAAAAGGGAAATACATTTCTAATAAAGCAATATTCATTTGAAAATGTGAGGCGAACGTGATAACCACTACACTACGGAAACAGATTCATTTGAAAATGTAACTAAATACCTAAGCATGACTACACCTAAAGATATAATGAAATAGGCAAGTATTTGCATCTACTTATAAAAATAAATTTGGATTAAAGAGAAGTAAAAACAATAGTCAACTTAATATCATTTAAAAAAATATTTGACATTTTGAAATAAGGACTAAGTAAATATATTGCATCAATATGCACCATATACATGCATTCAACCATTACAGATGCAGAATGTCACAGGAATGTGTCTCAAACACCACAGACTGCATTGCCATTATTTACATGATTTTCTGACATGAAAAGCAAGTTTTTATAGATTAAAGAGAGCATACTATTCCTGGAAATTTCAGTTTATATTAAAACTGGCTGAAAATATTTTTTATTTATGTAAAATACATTTATGTGCTCGGCTCAGATAATTACAAACAGGTTTTTACTGACCTCAAGGCCCGGCGGGACACTGAAAATTCATGTCATGGGCCAGTTGCTTGTGCAGCCTAACTTAAAAAAAATAAAATTATCACAGGATATCTAGCTCCCCTGACTCCCGCCTACAAAGTACCAGTAGTGACCCTCCTAACTTTTTCCTCTCCCCTCCTATCTTGTTGAAAACCAGAAAACAGCCCCACAGATGCTCAAAATACTCGCAGAAGGTAGGGCCCCTTTTTTGATCACTAGAAGATCAAAAATAAACAAATAATTTAGAGACTTTTTGTGACATGAAGGAAAAAAAAACAGTGCAAGAGTGGGTGGCAGCGTTTAAACTGAGACCTGAATGGTGAGATGGGGACAGCCTTGCAAAAAGCTGGGTAAGAACATTCCTGGCAGGGGAACAGGCCAAAGGCTGTGAGCTGGGAAAACAACTTGGTATGTTTGAGGAGTAGAAAGAATATTGTGGTTTGAGCTAGACTAGAAAGGTAGAAAGCACTGACTTTTTAGGGAACAGGGATGGGGAGAAATTTCCCAATTATTTTTATGTGATATTGAAAGGATGATTACCAGCAGTCCAACTTTAACTACATTTACAAACACTGTCTTTGTGGCTCCTGATCGTTTTGAAGATGTGCCTTTCCAGTAAGAGGAATAATCTTTTCCAAAGCTTACAATGGACTCTTGGGTTTTGTATCAGGTTCCAGTTCCATCACTGTGGCAGGTTCCAGATGGGCAAGGCTCTGAAATTCCTTGTCTTTCTCTCTCTTGAGCCCCATTGGTATTCCTTGTCAAGATCTCTTCCTTGGAATTCAGAGCCCCCTCTCCTTTCCCCTGTCCCCCAACAAAAAGAAGTTTGATAAGGATTCACTCATTGGAAGTAAAATGATCTTTATTGCTTTTTCTGATTAAAAAATACCTAAGTGTCATCCCAGGATTTTTTTTCTTTTTTTTCTAAAATTCAGGTAGACACATACCTAAACCAGCAAATGGAGGAAGGGGGCGTCTCATGTCGTATCCTAAGAACTTCAGACTTTAGTCATAGGCAAAGAGTTGGTACCTCATTTGTCCTTTGGAAAAATGGAACCATCAGGCCACCAATTCCTAGGTGGGGAAAATCCTGAGCAGTTAAAAAAAAAAAAAAAAAAAAAAAAAAAAAGAACTCACAGCCTTGTGACAAGGGACTGAAAAATTCAGTCTGATATAAAATATAGAACTCAAATTTAAGGGAAAGCCTACTCTACCAAAAGAACAAATAGCTCAATCGGACTCTTTCCCACCTTTGTTGTTCCTATAGACACTCCTCGTCGCTAAGTGATCTCATCTGGTTTTTAAATGTCCCTCCACTTTCAGACGCTGTCCGCTCGCTTCCTTTCACTACCTCCTTCTCCCAATCCTGGCAGCACCTCCAGGCTCACGGTGCCCTCGGAAGGACGGACAGGGATTAGTCTATCCAGTCCCGCTGGGTTTCGGTCACTGTTACTTTCACTGACGTTTTTTGCAGAAAAAGCAGGTGTTTGCAGGGTAGACAGGCTATGTGGTCGTCCGCGGTGGCTCCAGCCACCATAGCCTCAGAGCGTGGCGGAGACACCTCATAGACCAGAGCCCGGCAATGAGGGCGAGGTGGGCAAGGTGGGCGAGGGTTGGCAGCCGACTTAGCCCGTGGTGTGCAGCGTCCATAGCGCCTCCGCAGCAGCGGGGCTCCGAGGAAACCCGGCCCCGCCCCCTTCCGCGTGGGCCCCCGCGGCCCCGCCCCGCAGTTTGTGTCACGTGCCGCGCCGCCGCCCAATCAGCGCCCGCTGCGCGCTGGCTCGCGATTCAAACAGCGGCTCGGAGGGTTCACGCAGGTCCGCGGTGTCGCCACCGCCGCCACTGCCGGGCAAAGGCCATGGAGCCCCGCATCGTGGGGCCCGGGCCGTACCGGGCCACCAAGCTGGTGAGTGAGCGAGACGGGGCCCCCGAGTCCCCGGCCTCCCCGCCTGGCGGGTCGCCTTCCCTTCTCCAGGGCAGACCGGGCGGGGGTTTGGAGGCCGGGCCGGGGATTGGAGGCCGGGCCGGGGTTTGGAGGCCGGGCCGGGGTTTGGGCCGGGGTGTTGCTCAAAGAACGATAACGGGTCCCGGAGCCCAGGCCATCGGGGGGTCGCATCTTCGTTCCCGAGATGTTGGAGGTGTTCTCGGCCATCCGCGGCACCTCCCCCTTTGAAGAGCCGGAGGACCAGGTGACCCCCTCTCCCAGCCTGTTTGTCCTGAGTAATCAATCCCACGCCAGCCGCCGGGAGCCCGCGGGGCAAACCCATTTCTAACCGGAGGGACCCTCCTGCCGTCCGGGCAGGGCGTGTCTCCGTCCCGAGAGTCACTTGTGGTGACAGCCTGAGGTTCTTTCTAACGGTGCCTGGAGCTGAGGTGGATCGCCCTGACCGCATTTCCGGTTCCTGGCGTTCCTGTGTTGTTTTTGTCATTGACATAAATGAGGGCGTGGGCCGGTTGGTCTAAGAGCCTTTGCCGATGGTCCAGGTGATGGTCCAGGCGCTGCCTTGTGTCCTGCTTTGGTACTCAGGGGCACTTATTTTGATTTCTCTTATGACCCGGGGCAAGTAATTACAGTGATTTCTGTTAAAGAGGATTACCATAAAGCAGTGTGTCCCAAACTTTTGACATATGTGTACCCCTTCTATAATTTTCGTAAGGCTGAGTACCCCTCGTACTCATGAGAACGTAGAATTAGGCGCAGCTAAGCACGGTGCAGTGCACATCCCCACCAAACTCTGGTGCAACGCGTACCCCCACCAAACTCTTCCCGTACCCCTGGGGGTACGCGTACCACACTTTGGGAAACACTGCCATAAAGGAACAAGTGATGACAATTTGGTATGTGCATGGCAGGTTTTCAGACAGCTTTCTATGAAAGCGGAACGGTGATTTGGGAGGAAGGAACCTTTCTCTTGGGTCTGTCATCACTTGTGGTCACTTGTTAACTTGGGAATTAGTCTCCTTGTTGTGTGCGCCCTAATGGACATCCAGGAAATGACGGGAATTAAGTTCCAACCTCTGATTCACCTAGACTTGCATATGTGGAAGAGATGAGGACAGTGCTACAGGGGGAGGTATAATTAGGGTTTCCTTTTCTTTCTGGAACCAGTGTCACAGTGGCCGGTGGGGTCAAGCCAGAGCTAAGAAAGCCAGCTTCTAAGTGAAATCATGATTGGGACAGATGGTTGTTTAATATTTTATTTGGCTCATAGACCACTTTGAGAATCTCTCTTTGTAGGCTAGTGCACATGCCACATACTCATGAAATTATACATAGATTTCAGAAGACTTGGAGAGTCTGTGGCATTGTTTTATTTAGCTTAACCATCTACTTGCCCACAGTTTTGTGTGTCAGCCAATCTGGACTGGGCTTATGTCTGTTTTTTTGTTGGAGCCACTCATGTGCCACGATCATCTAGTGACTTGACTAGGAAAGAAGAACCCTTGACTTGGTTCTGGCTGTTGGCTGGGCCAAGTGTCTTCACATAGTGGTTCGACATCACCAAAAGAAGGTTTCTGCCTGTAACTTTTTGTTTAGATCTCACTGGTCAGAGCAAGTCAAACAGCTAATTCCAGATTGTAGAAATTCAGCTCCTCTTTTCTTTTTTGTTAAATTAAATTTTTTTTTTCAATTACAAGTTGACATTTAATATTTCAGGTATACAACATAGTGGGTAGACATTTATATAACTTAATGAGGTGATCCCTCTTCCCGGAAGTCTAGTACCCATCTGACATCATACATAGTTATTACATTATTATTGACTATATTCTCTATTCAGTTCCACTTTTTTTTTTAAATCTTTAAAATATATTTTATTGATTTTGTACAGAGAGGAAGGGAGAGAGACAGAGAGTTAGAAACATCGATGAGAGAGAGTCATCAATCAGCTGCCTCTTGCACACCCCCTACTGGGGATATGCCCACAACCAAGGTATATGCCCTTGACTGGAACCGAACCCGGGACTCTTCAGTCCCCAAGCTGACGCTCTATCCATTGAGCCAAACCGGTCTCGGCTTTTTTTAATCTTTACCTGAGGATATTTTGTCTATTGCTTTTCAGAAAGAATGGAAGGGATGGAGGGAAGGAGGGTCCGAGGGACTGAGGGACTGAGGGGAGGAGAGACAGGGAGAGAGAAACATCGATGTGAGAGAGACACATCAACTGGTTGCCTCCTGTACGTGCCCTTACTGGGGGTGGGAAGCGAACCCGAAAGCCAGTCCATGCCCTTGACCTGGAACCGAACCTGAGACCCCTTGGTTTGAGGAACTGTGCCCTAACCACTGAGCACACTGACCAGGGTTGTTGTACTTCTTTCTGGACAGATTTGCAGTCACGTTGCAGAGGTATCTGTGAACAGGATAGGAGGAGTGTTTGCATTCATCTTCGCAAACACTCTATTACAGACATCCAGAATGATTCATTAAAAAACAACAACAACCAACAAATACAAATTTAAGTTTTTCTTTCTGCTAGCCTCGATATAGATGGTGATGGTAGGGAACAAATAGGGTGTTTTAAAAACAATGTTGTTTCTGCTTCCACTTCCCAGTTGTTTCTACTATTTGAAACCATGTGGTAGGTCCCATGTCAGGGATGAATTACAGATTGTGCTTTATCAGGGTCTTTCAAAAACTTTAATCTCTTTTGTGGAAAGAAAAGAACACATCCCCCCTCCCGTCTCCACCAATATATTCACATTTATGCAAGGAAAACAGAGAGAAGCTCTGGATATTGGCACTTCTCCTTTCTGCTTTAGACTTAAAAAAATTACATCATAATTGGAACTGTTTTTTAAATCTCATATTCCCAGAAATGTATGAAGTACACTTTCATAGATGCAGAGTGCCTATGTATTAGTACTTGATTCTGAGTCACATTAAAACGTTATCAAAGGAGGCTACTATGAGGAGCATGCCCTTGCCTTTCCTCACCCCTCTTTCCTCGCACATGTTCTCTCTTTCCCAGAGCATGCTGTGCCTCTCCTCCCTCTTTCGTCTCTCAAGGCATGTATCTCTTTCCCTTTCTCCTAGGCTTCAAGGGCCCTTCTATTGTACTACCTCTGTAACTGTCTAAATAAACTTTCCCTTGTAAAAAAAAATGTACATTATCAAAAGAGTTTATAAAGAAAAGTGTTCTTATTCTCCAGAAGTCTTCAGTCCCCAAGAAGTGGTACTCAAACCTACTTTAGCAGAAATTGATAAAGGTTAAGCAGAAAATTAAATTATGTGAATAATTAATGAAAACACCTCAGTTTCACCAGAATTTCCAGATAGTCAATCGAGTTCTAAACGTTATTCTATTTGAGAAACTTGATCTTAAACTAAGATTTTGAAAACATAGGAACAATAGCCAATTTCTTTTTAAGTGAGAATTCCTGATTCGTCAGTGATAACACTTCACAGATGCTTACCCCCTATTGTGAAATATATAAAAGTTTCTCTGAACAAAATTCAATTGTGCCTTAAAGCTTTCATCCAGTAAATCATAAAGCTTGTGGTGGTTTTTTCTCTACTTTCCTCCTCCCACTCCCACCACTTTCCCCTTCTCCCAATTTCTCCTTCAACCTAATCTTAAAGAAAATCTTTGGAAAATCTATTAGCAACCGAAGAGCAGGCCTTTACTTGCTCCTGTTATGGCACATTATACTTTCTCAAACCACATACAGCTCCATTTTCTAAAGCACCAACAAGTCTTATCTGAAAATATCATTTTATAGACTAGGTAAATTTGCCAAAAATCAAATGACAGACTTATAAGTCAATTCATGATGAATATGGGACCTAATTAGCAACTTATTCATCACAACTAAAATAGCTTTCATTTTTGTAACTCAGATATAAATAGTTAATTATTTTAAGAGAAATGATGAGAAAGAAAATTGCTTTTACTGAAAATTGCTTTTGTTGAACCTTTCTTTGAACTTAATTTTGAGTTATTTGTATCATCTGATGCTACTGGTGAACTTGAAAAGACTTAACAGCTGTCATTGAATCTGAGCGCTAGAATGCCCTCCAAAGATTGCTTGGTTAAATCCCCTTATTTGACTAAGACCTAAAGGGATGAGTGGACTTGTTCAAGTTCACACTGCTAGTAATGGCAAGAATAATTAGATCTAGAATTTTGTTCTCTCTGAGTTCCTGCCCAGGTGCTATACTATTGTACAGTATTATAGTAGTTCTATAATAATGATATTGATACTAAGAAGGAAGGAAATGGGATAAATATTCTGGAAGAAAGAACAGGAAGCACATTTCAACCCTTAGTGTTGTATTTTATAGTTTAACTCATGATGTTAAGCAAAAACAGTTCTGTTGTATGACTATTTTTTAGATTAGGGGACTGAATAAATAAGTAAAACAAATGGTTTTTAAATCAAAACAAATCTGTCCTCTTTGCTATAAAGATTATTTCTTCAAATATAGCATGTTATAAGAAAATCATATTCTCAAGCTCTATCTTGTACTTTGTTGACATAGGATATTTTCTTCCTAAATGTAAGTGAGGTTTTGTTCAGTTTCACTCAGTGGATAGAACATCTGCCTATGGACTAAAGGGTCCCGGCTTCAATTCCAGTCAAGGGCATGTACCTTGGTTGCTATCTCCTCCCTGCTCCCAGGCCCCCAATCGATGTGTTTCTCTCACATCGATGCTCTGTCTTTCCCTCTCTCTTCCACTCTTTCTAAAAATCAATGGAAAAATATCCTTGGGTGAGGATTAAAAAAAAATGTAAATGGTGAATTAAAGATGATTATTTTTTTCTATTGGCAGAGTAGCCAAATAACCATCTCATATAATAAAGAGATAATATGCTAATTAGCTGAATGACCTTCCAGAATGACCATCCAGAATGACCAGTTGGCAGGGCTGAGAGGCCATGAGGGCTTTGAGGGCTGAGCCCCTTGCATGGATTTCGTGCACTGGGCCTCTAGTTTAATTATATTTGGAAATAAGTGGATACAGAAGCCACACTCCTCACTGGGTTTTGAAAATTCTAGGTGAAACACTGGATTGAGTAAATATAAATTATAATAAGTGCCATTCAAAATAAAAATAAATAAATTCTAAATTCTTTTTAAAAGTTCCCTATTTAAAAAGAGATATGCACCTTTGACAAGGATATCTTATAAAATTTGTAGTGTGAAATGAAAGGCAGCTATCAGAGAACACATAAAAATTCAGTCAGAATTCCAACAGATTTTTTTTTTTCTGAGCGGGATTGCATGTTGAAAGCTCATACACAGAGTAAAAGAGGAAGAATTCAAAATAATTTTTAAGGACTATAGGCACCTTGACCTATCAGAGATTTAAACTTAATATTAATTAACTGTAATTACAAGAGTATAGTATTGTACAGGAATGACACATATCAGTGAGATAGAAAAGAGTTTAGAATCAGAAAAGGTAACTTAACATTTTAATTCAGTTAGAAAATGATGGCATGATTGGCTCTCCATTTGAAAGAGAATAAAGTTAGGGCTCTCCTACCTCACATCATAAAGAATTTCAGTTAAAGTTTCAAATCTATATAATAGAGGGTATGCAAATTAGCCAGGACACCATAACATCATGACCAACAGCAGGGACCTGAGGCTGCATGGCTCCTGGCCAGGGCGAGCGACCTCAGGCCATGCCCCCTGCCCTATGGGGCTTGATGGAGGATCTCAGGCCACGCCCCTCACCCCAGCACCAGGCTGGGAGAACTCAGGCGGCACCCACTGCCTGGAGCCGGGCAGGGGGACCTCTGGCCATGCCCCCTACCTTAGCGCCGGGCTGGGGGACCTGAGGCTGTGCCCCCTGTATAGAGGGGTCTGATGGGTGGGGTGGGCCGGGTCCAATGGGGATGGGGCCAGCTGGGTCTGGGTCCTTTGCATTTTCGAAGCACGTGCGGGTGGTGGGCGAGGACTTGACTCTGGGTCCCACGGTGTGCCCCAGTCTCTGACAGGAGGGAGATCTTCATATACATTTTACTAATTTTCTTTCATCTCTGACACTTCAGAGAGAAAAGGCAAATAGCAATATTAAAAATTTTCTCTAATTAATTCCCTTTTAAATGTATCTTTTTTTATTTTATTGATTTTTTACAGAGAGGAAGGGAGAGAGATAAGAGAACTAGAAACGTCAATGAGAGAGAAACATCGACCAGCTGCCTCTTGCACACCCTCTACTGGGGATGTGCCCGCAACCAATGTACATGCCCCTGACCAGAATCAAACCTGGGACCTTTCAGTCTGCAGACCGATGCTCTACCACTGAGCCAAACCGGTTTCGGCTAATTAATTTCCTTTTAATGTGCATGAATTTTGTGCAGTGGGCCACTACTATTTAAATCACTCTATGATATTAAAAGAAAAATTTAATAAATATTTTTAATATCTCAGACTGGGGAAGCTTTCTAAGTAAACCCTGTAACCATAGAGAAAAAAAATTGTATTGTTTCCTTAGAACAACAAAATTAACAACAAAACCTTCCCAAAGCTAGAGACCATATAATGCCTTTCATGGAATAAACACTAAACAATTGCTGAGTGAGGTAAAGTCATATGAAACATAGGATTCAAGAAGTGAATTAAGCATATTGTTTTCAGTTTAATATTATTTTTTATCATATGTTTCTTATTAATGTAAAAATGTATTAAATTCATATTATAGGACAACTTGATGGCAATATCTCCAGTAATTATTTATTGAATAAATTCATTTTAAAAATTTACTTTTTCTTTAGAGTGTGAAGCTTATAAATTTATAAATTTCAAGACTTTGTCTGTTATTTAGACAGCCTCTTAAATGGAAAAATTGCATTTGTTGTCTGAAATATTTTGAATGCAATAATCTGGAAAAAAAGATCAATTGGTTACTAAATGCCTTTCTCTCTTTTTTCTCCCAGTGGAACGAAACCATTGAGCTTTTTCGCACTCGGATGCCATTACGGAAACATCGCTGTCGTTTCAAAAGTTACGAACGTTGCTTCACAGCGGCTGAAGCTGTGGACTGGCTGCATGACCTGCTCAGGTGCAATCAGAACTTTGGCCCCGAAGTGACCCGCAAACAAACGGTGCAGCTGCTAAAAAAGTTCCTGAAGAATCATGTTATCGAAGACATCAAGGGCAAATGGGGTCAGGAAGATTTTGAAGACAACGGTCACTTATACAGGTAACAGCAACCAGTAAACTGTGAAGGGGAGGAGTATGGGGAGGATGAACGGATCTGTCAGAGTCAGAAACTTGCTCATGTGAAGGAATTTATCTTGTCCCTTGGAGAGCTGCCTCTCCTGTGGTTTGTTAAGTGTAGACCTGAGTGAGTTGTTATAATAAAACCGATTGGAATGTTTTCTGACTCCATAGAGCATCCCATAGCAGTCTTTTGCTGTGGTGACTTTTAGTAAGGAAATCTTTCCATGCCTGTAAGGATGCCTACCTTAGCTTAGTACTTGTTCTAGGGGATCTGAAAAGGTTAAACAGTAGCTCTGGGTCAGCCTTTGTGAACAATGTGAAGGTACATATTCAAGGGATCTAGTGGCCGAGTGAGTCTGATCAGTAAGCAGAACTCAGGGCTCATGTGAAGAATTATTCTAGCATTCCCTCATGTCTCAGATTAACCCTGGCAATGCATGTCTGCTTTTCTTCAGACATTTTTTGCTTGTTTCAGTGCTTTCTTATGATCGGACACTTAACTACCAGATAATCTCTTTGCTTGTACTTCCATGCCTACTACTCACTAGGCTGTTACTGCTGGATGTGGAAGGGCTCTCTACCTAAGATTCAGGGGATGGGAGAAGACTAAAGAGGGAATGAAGTCACACCAGTTCAGAAAAGAATTGTTGTGTTATCTACAGAGAGGCTTACCAAAGTGCTAAGAAACTGTGAGGGGTTTTTAAAAATGGAGAATATGGATTCTTAACTGCTTTATTTTACAACATCAAAATAAGGAATTGATTCTTCATCTATTTGCAAATCTAATCTTCCTCTAGCTCCTAATCTCCCTTGTCTGCTTTCATTATAATTTGGCTGTAGTGCCATTCACCCTTGAGCAGCACTGGAAATGGAGCAGTGAGGGCAGCCTGTCCCAGAAACTAAGGAATCCTCTTACAACACGGTTATTGAGGGCATTTGGAGGCCGCTGGGACACCTGGCTTGAGTAGAGAAAACCTGACTTTTTCAAACCTCAACAATTTCTTTGGCTTCTTTTATACTAGCTACTGAGAAAGGCTGACGAGCAAGGAGAGGGTGCCAAGGCTGAGACCAGACTTTGCTGTTTGTTTAGAATCTAATTTCATCAGCAATCTTCAGCTTCTACTAGTAGATATCAAGTTGTCATCTGGGCAGTTAGTTGTTTCTCCAACTGGCAGTTATTTCTGACTTGCTGATCCAACTTTTAATTAGGATCGTGTGTGATGTTAGCCTATTCGGCGATCATAATGCTCTAGCCCTGGTTCCACATGCTGCACTTTACTGGGGATTCTTCAGTGGTTATTTTTCTTGGGGAAACTCTAATTGCTTGTACCCCATCAATATTTAGCCAGCACTCTGCTAAAAGATTCTATGGGTGAGCAACTTCCAATCTGTTCTCTTGGGCACCTCTCATTGAGTTCCATGAGTTACTGAGAGTCATCCAAACTAAAATAGAATTGTGCTCTACAAGCTGACCACCCAGCACTGACTGTGAGAGTCACATGTCCCCTTTAATTTGAAGACTTCCTTATGTTTCCCCTTTAAAAAACAGTGTGCACAGATTAAATTCATCCATGAAATAATGATCCAGTTTTTCTTATAGAATATTTGAGTCATAAGGGAGCAGTATTTTCTTTTATTATTTACCAACTGAGTGGCTGGGAGACATGAGGTTGTGCCCCCTTCCCGGCATGGGGGTGGGGCCAGCTGGGTCTGGATTTTGCCTAATGGGGTGTGAGAAGGTGGGCGGGGACTTGATTCTGGGTCCTGCAGTGGGCCCCTGACTCTGACAGAAGGAAGGTTTTCATATATATTTTACTAATTTTCTTTCATTTTTGATACTTATATTATAGAAAAAGGGCAAATAGCAATCCTATCTAATAAAAGAGTAATATGCAAATTAACCATCACTCTGCTATACCACCAGCCACACCCATCAGCCAATCAGGAGTGAGTATGTAAAATTAACCCAACCAAGATGGCTGCAGCCAGAGAAAGAGCAGAAGGGAGGCTTGGGTTTCCCTGACGATGAAGGAAGCCAAGCTTTCTGCACACCCTGGCCGGCCTCTGCTTAAGGCTACAAAGTTTCAATTATAGAAGATAAATAAATCCCCATAAAAATGGCATCAGCCATGGAGCTGGAGAAAGCAGGAGGCTAGGGTTGCCCCCAGCCATGGAGGAAGCCAAGCTTCTGCAGCCCTGGCCTGCTTTGGCCTCTGCTAAGGCTATAAAGTTTCAATTATAGGAGATAAATAAATCCCAACAGAAATGGTTGCCACCACAGAGCAAGCAGAAGGCTTGGCACCGCTCCTGGCTACAAAATTTCAATTGTAGAAGATAAATAAAACTCAGATACCAGGGCCTCTGCTTGGGTCACTGGGGGCATGGCTGGCCTGAAAACCAACACAGGTCCCTTACCCAGGCCGCTTCACGCCCCATGGGAACCCCCACCCTGATCCAGGACACCCTTCAGGGAAAACAAGCTGGCCCCCACCCATGCACCAGGCCTCTATCCTATCTAATAAAAGAGTAATATGCAGATTGACCATCACTCCAACACACAAGATGACTGCCCCCATGTGGACACAAGATGGCCTCCACAAGATGGCCAGCAGGGGAGAGCAGTTGGGGAGAGACCAGGCCTGTAAGGGAGGGCAGTTGGGGGTGATCAAGCCTGCAGGGGAGGGCAGTTAGGAGTGACCAGGCCAGCAGAGGAGGGAAGTTGGGGGCGAACAGGCTGGCAGGGGAGCAATTAGACATTAATCAGGTTGGCAGGGATCAATCAGGCTGGCAGGGGAATGGTTAGGGGTTGATCAGGCTAGCAGGCAGAAGCAGTTAGTGGCAATTAGGAAGGCAGGCAGGTGAGCATTTGGGAGCCAGCAGTCTTGGATTGTGAGAGGGACACCCCCCCCACTCCACCCCCATGCATGAATTTTGTGCACCAGGCCTCTAGTATTAAAACAGTTCATTTCATTAATTTCTTTTTAATATGCATGAATTTCATCCACCAGGACACTAGTGGATTATATAAAAATAGAAGTCTGTAATATGATAGTTGCTTGTTTTGGGCTATTTAATGAGGAAAGTATTTGGCCTAGTGTATGTAGATTTTTAGCCTACACCTGACCTTTGACCTGCTCTCACTACTAATGCTGGTTTCATGAGTACTGAGAACCCAGAAGGTGTTCATGGTTTGCAGAGGGCATTCACTTGCTCAGATGTAGTGGTTTGGAGCTAATGTGTAGGGAGCCATTTTCTTTTTATTCTCCTTTCTCTGTTCCCCTTTCTCTTTCCATCTCTCCATGCGTTACTCTCATCCTCCTTTCTTTTTCCTTTTCGTTTCCTCCTACTTCATTTTTTTATTCTCCTTTCTGTTCCTTTCTCTCATATTTACATTTTTTTCTGGCCTATTTCCAAAATACTGATCCTAATTTGAAACTAAAAATTTTTATGTAGATGCTGTCAACTTTGTTGAATACTGTTACTTTCACAGTTCTTAAAAAAAAATAACAAAGGAATCATGCTACCCAGTTTTAAGACTATTGTACATAAAGCCACAGAAATGAAGACTGTGGTCTTGTGAAAAGATAGACATAGGTCAGTGGAACAGAAGAGCCCAGAAACACACACAAATATGGCCACGTGATTTTTGACGAAGGTGTAAGAATAATTTAAATGGAAAAGAGTATTCTTTTCAGTAAATAGTGTTGGAGCACTTGGATATCTAGCCTCTCTATGCAAGAAAGTGAGCCTTAACCTAAATCTCAGACTTTACACAAAAAATTCAAAATGAATCATAGATTTAAATGAAAAACTACAAAAGTTTTAATTAAGCAGGAGAAAATCTTTATGCCCTTTATGTTCTTAAACATGATATCAAAAGTGTGATTTATAAAAGAAAACATAATAAATTGGTCTTAATAAAAATTAAAATCTTTTGCTCTATGAAAGATACCAATAAGAGGATCAGAAGACAAGCTAAAGATGGGGAGAAAATATTTGCAAGCTACATAAATAACATATCAAAAATATAAAGAACTAGCTCTGGCTGTTATGGCTCAGTTGGTTGAGTGTCATCCCATGCACCCAGAGGTCACTGGTTGATTCTTGGTCAGGGCACGTGCCCAGGTTGCAGCTTGATCCCCAATAGGGGGCATGCAGGAGGCAGCCAACCCATAGTTTTCATTCAGTTATGTTTCTCTATCCTCCTCTCTCTTCCTTCCTCCCTCTCTCTCTCTCTCTCTCTCTCTCTCTCTCTCTCTCTCTCTCTCAAATCTATGTAAAACTCAGTAGTAAGAAAACTAACAACCCAATTAAAAAATGAATTAAAACACTTTACTTGATCAGATACTTTACCAAAGATAACCAGATAGCAGATAAATATTTGAGAAAATGTTTAATATAGTTAGCATTGGGGAAATGCAAATTAAAACCATGACAAGATACCACTACATATCTATTAGAACTGCTACAATAAAAATACTGACAATCTTAAGAGCTAGTGAGAATGCTGAGCAGTTGGAAATCTCCTTTATTGCTGGTGGAAGCCTACATTGGTAGTCACTCTATAAAACAGTTTGGCAGGGCTACACTATGACTCAGTATTCCTGCTCTGGGGCATTTACTCTAGAAAAAGGAAAACATGTTCACACAAAAACTTGTACATTAATATTTATAGCAGCTCTATTAATAATCGCCACTAGCTGAAAATAGCCCATATGTGCTGCAGTGGATGAATGGCTAAACTGCATATTTGTACAATGGGATGTTATTATCTGTTGGGGGTGGGCAGTGGGGGTGTTCAGCAGGAGGCTGTCACTATGAAGTCAGCGCAGGAAGGAGTTTTTTTGAGAGGGGGAATAATGGAACTGTTCTGTTTCCTGATTGTGGTGATTATACAAATGTTCTAAAATTAATAGAAATTTACATCCATACACAAAAGTCTATTTTACTATATGCTAATAACATTTTTTTTAATGCTGG